CCAGCCGACACCTGAGCCCAGCATCCCAGGGATTCAGCATGGACAGCTCAGCTATCCCAGAGAGGTGAAGGAGCAGCTGGCCTTAGGAATCGGGGGCTGCCACCATTCAGTGTCTCCCCATTTGGACACTACTCGTTACCTTGCACCCTGGAACATCTCTGAATTAGCTAGACTTCTGGTCTGGCATTACCAGCTTTTTTATAGAAAAGAGATTAGTTACACTTGATACCATTATGTTGCGGGCAATTCCAGAGAATTAACACCTGCATGGACAGGAAGAGATGCACCATCTTGCCTTGGCATATCAATCACCTGAATAAGGAGACTTATTCCAAATGTTTATTGTACCCATGGGGTTATTTATTGAGAGTTTTTCTATTAAGATAAGTGCACAGCTTCACAAGCACCCCTCAACAAGGCTGCCTGAAGAGTCCTGTGGAAGAATGAATACAAGAGCCACTCCAGCCACAGAGACCAAGCAATTCATCTGTGTAATGCCAGCGATTTCACCACAGAAGCTGAGCTCTGTGTCCCCTCAGCAGTCTCCTTGCTTGTCTCTTTAATTTTCAGTTTTCTTTTATTTTGCACTATTTATTTTCTCCCTTTATCTCTCCCCTCACTGTGTCACCCAGGCTGGTTCCCACTCTGTGGACACTAGGAATAGCTAATATTTAAATGAGGTAAAATGGGAAGCAAGAGGAAGTCTCAGTTTCTAGGAACACACTGATAATCAATTGTCAGTACATTGTAAATAGGCCCTCTTTGGCCATACTATTAGGCAAACGTTCCCATAGAGGCTCCTGCCTCACTTACCTCCTGCCTGGACAGGTTGGTTTAGCCTTTGGGAACAGAGATCTTTATGCTTTGGACACCTTTCTCCTTTCCAACCAGTTTCTGTCCTCTTACCTTCCACATGGGCCTGGCCATTGTTCCTTGGCTTTGTTTTGCAGGGGTTGGAGGATTGTGTTCTGATGGAAAGTTGGATCTCTCCCACACACTAGAATTAGTCATATCAGGAACTGACACTGCTTTGGTGCTGAGTGTTAGGATTCAGGAACAGCAGAATGATACAGGAGGGTAGGGGCAGGAGCATATGGTTTTGTAAGATAACTCACCACCAGCTCTATTGAGTGCTGTGGGGGGATCCTGCCAGAGATGCCCAAGATGGAGTTTCTCACATTGTAGGCTGTGTGGGGCAAGTGGTCTTACATCCTATCCTCACTAGGGTTTTTGTAGATTTGTAATCTTGTTGCCCTTGTGTCTTCAAGGATAGTGAGGATGGCTGATGGTACCCAATGCTGACACTTTCAGTGGCTCATCCTTGACATATAGTGGTCCTTTGCAAACTACAGTACTGTTCTGGGTTGGGCTCTGTGCTATAGGCCAACTTGTTGAAGACAAGTAAGCAGACTGGGTTCCTCCCAGATACTTTCTATGTGTAGGTGGGAAGGTCTGAGGATACTGAGCAAGTCCACCAGCACCATTCACAGACATGGGGGGCTCTGTTCAGATCTGAGAACCTGGGCAATGTTTCAGAAGAGCCTTCTGGAGCAGCATGTGGAGAAAGAAAAGTCCCTGGCCATTGCCACTCACAAGAACCAGTGCTGTGCATGACCCTGTCTGCACTTCTCTGGCTGTCCTTTCTCCATAAGCAGCAGAAAAGAGCAGGCCAGCCTCCACTGCATGGCAGGAACTTTCCCTGCCAGGCAAGCCCTGCCTTCTTGGCCTGCTGTGCTTGTACCTTCCATTCTCATGAACTGTGTTGGAAGCAATAGAATAAAAGAGTGTGCATTTTCTTCCCATCTGGTATCCCTATATGACCCCATTTTCCCAAACTCCAGTCTTCCTTCACTGGACTCTCTCTGCCCTCTGCATAGGTATGGAGAAGGCTGGAGATGAAGGTCCTGTAGTGAAGACTGATGGATATCTCATAACTTCTTCTAATAAACATAATCAAGCAAGAAGCCAAGCTTGTCTGAATCTTTTATACCCTTTCATGTGGACTTTGGTTAAAAAGAAAGACAGTGAAAGGAATCTAATTTAGCTAAAAATGGAGAATAAGCCAGTAGTTGTTGCAGTAATTCACTTGCAGGTCAGCATGGGAAAAGAAAGAAGAAGCAGAGCAAGCGAAGCAGCAGCAGAAAAAAAGTCCTTTATTGTATACAAGCAGTCTTTTTATAGTATTGTGTACAAAGAAGGCAGCCTTCCGACATCAATAAATCAGGTCTTTCAGGTAATTAAACATAGCATACAGAGGTTTTACTTTCTAATCAGAAGTGACCCGCTTCTCATGGCTAATCTATTCTCAGCCCGGAGTATGTTGAGCTCTGCTCTTTGTTAAGAACAGATAATAAAATTTTTCTCAGCGCCCTCTTAGCCCACTTGGCAGAACGTCCCGTTTGCAGGCAAGTCCTCCCAAGGACAGCAGACACCTCGTTTTCAAGCATGTCCGCTGTTACCTTATCTAAACCTTGAAGGAGCCTCTCATTTGCAAGTAGGCCCTCCCAAGGACAGCAGACACCTTGTTTTCAAGCATGTCCGCTGTTACCTATCTATACCTTGACAGAATATCCCGTTTGCAGGCAGACTCCATCAAGGACAGTAGTAGTAACGCAGTCACATCTGATTCTCTACAAGTAGTGACTATGAAAAAATTAGAATTAATGCTTCTCTTGTTAATATAAGTCTGTGCTGTCCAGTACAGCGAGTGTGACTGTAGGCTGATAGGTTGACAGCACATACAGAACATTTTCCTCATCACAGTGTCCACAGGCACTCTAGATAATCCACATTATCTTTCCCTTCACTTCACATTGCAGGGTTTCTTGCCTCTTCCTACAGGTCATGGTGAATGGAAAGGTGATGCAAGGAAGGATTTGGGATGGGTAGGAGTGAGAACCTAAGGATGTTTGAGAAATGGAGAAGTAATAGTCCAGTTTGGCCCACTCCAAAATACAATTTGGTCCTTCTATATAATCCTCTTGAGCCGTCTATGACTATCCTGAGTTTCCTTTGGTAATATCTGAAACTATTGAGTCATCACTGTGAGGCATAAGGCAGATGACTTCAGAAAAAGTGGTACATCCCAGAAAGAATGCAAGTCAGACCTAGGACCCTAGCCTTTCTCTGCCACCAGCTGCCTTGTGCCCTTCCCACTTTGGCCTCTGGCTCCAGGAGTGAGAGTGCCTTACATGTTCACAGAGATCACCAAGGAGGCTGGACTGGGTCATTTCTGAGAGCCCTGTCCCCACCCCCACAGAGCTTAGCTTCATAGTCCAAATCAAGCAGAGACAGGCTCTCCCTTGAATATTGACTTCCTCTGGCAGTCCCACACCCTTTGGTTCTGGGAGTTTCTGGTCTGAACTTACCTAATTGGTTCATTTTGGAATTGAATCCCCTTTTTTGTGTGGGGTTTTGTTTTAGGATTGAACCCAGGGCCTCAAACATGCTAAGCAAGTGCCTACGACTGAGCTATATTCCCAGCCCTTTTTAGTTTGTGAGATAGGGTCTCACTAAGTTCCCAGGCTGGTCTCAAACTTGCCATCCTCCAGGTGTGTGCTACCAAGTCCAACTTGAATCGCCTTTTTTGAATGTTGTTTGGGCCTCTAACTCAAGGTCTTAGGGAAGAGTGGAGATGACTGGATCTTGATTGAAGAAAAGAAATGCATCTTCCAGTAGTTCACTGCCCCAGAGGTCCTTTCTTTTCCTAGAGACTGCCTCTCAGCCACCTAGAAGATTGTGTTCACAGAGGAGACATATATCTGCAGCCTGAGTCTACATGGCTGGGAGGACTCTAAAGCCTTTATCCCTAGCACCTGAAGGACAGAAATGTCACAGAGTGTGTGAGAATTAYAGACCACCATGCTTATTGAGCCATAATAAGGGGAAAAGTCCTTTAATGAGCATGACAGGCAAGTGACTGAGAGTAGGCCAGCACCCCAAAGAACCCCTACTACTACCATTTTGGAATTATAGAGTTTATAAAGGCAAAAACCTCAAGAATGTAGGTTAGAAAAGATCTTATTGAGACAGATATTTTGATTACATGAGATTACATTGTTTTGATTACACATTTCAGACTCATTTTTGTTATATATCTGGGCTGCAAGAAGGTCCTTCAGTACTGTCAACATCAATATAGCTGTCTGGAGGCTGGAAAGAAGACATTTTAGCAAGCATAAAATGGAGTCAGGTCAAAACAAAATGGTGTTACCTTCGTTCGTTTACATTTCAGAAAGACCTTCTTTATACCTGTCCATATTTATACCACTTGACCATATACCTACCTCTGAGCCATATGGGTATTCCCATTGTCCCGGGAAGGGGACCTGGGCAAAAGCCACAGAGAGTCATAAGGCCTGCAGATTTCTACAGGATATGGATGATCCTCCTACCTGTGTAACATGCAGCAGGCTCTTTAGTGTTTGGGGAATAAATAAGGGAGGCCAAGAGAGATGGGAAACATCTTTGAGTCCAGATGAAAACACTGATGAAGAGATTGCCATGTTTCTGCTTCAGAACCCTGAGGAAGGTAGAACTTTTATTTTAAGCTTTACCAGCAGCTGGAAGAGGCTAGTTGCTGATACTCCATTTCCCTGCTGTTAATGGGAGGGCCGTGTTGGCTGTCTAGAGGGCTGGTCAGAAATAGGAATACCTGGGCTCACCCCCATTCATTAAGTGGGACATCAAGAGTGAGTCTCGGGTATCTATTTTTCACAACCAGCCTAATGATAACCAGAGGAACTGAGTTGGTGAACCAGAATGCTAGCCAGAGACTCCCAAGACTCTTGGATGAAACTGCCTCCTGCCTGAGGTAATCAGGCTCTAGTCACTTCCTGGAGCATGACAAACTCCACCTCTACCAGGAGAGGGCCACTCAGTCCTGAGTCCTCAGCACAGCGGCTGCTCCGCCCTCCCCACTCCAGGGATACCTGTCAGACTTGAGAACGGAGTGTAGCCAGGACAGGGAGAGAACAGGCTGGGAACTGGGTTGCCCAGCCATGCTCTGGGCCCTCTGGCCAAGGTGGCTGGCAGGCAAGGGGCTGCCCCTCCTGGAAGCTGTGCTGCTGCGGAAGAAAGAGAAGGGACCTCAGTGGAGGAACTTGCAGGTACGTACTTATCTCACCTGGAAGTTATGGACTGGAAAGTCCTGGAGCTGCTGTCCTCTGTGAGGACAGAGGCCAGCCCCACACTTGGTTTTGACTTAGGATAGGACCTACCACCAAACAACCTGGCAAACCTTAAGCAAGAGAGATTGGCTAAGTATTTGGCTCTCAAAAATAATCCCCTCCAAATAGGAAATGGAGGGCTTTGATTGGCTTTGATTGACTTTCACTTGTCTTTGATTGACTTTGCCAGGAATACTCTTGTCTGGCTGTAGAATTCACTGCTGTAGAAGGAATAAGGAATTGAAGGGATTAGGAAGGGACAGTCTCACTGCCTAGAAACTGCAATCTGATGTCTCTCTCCTGGGCCCAAGCTACAATCTCCTTAATGACTTGTCAGACCAGTACAAGCCAGTGACTCTTAACTTCCCTTCACCTGCCTGCTGCCTACTAGGCTGTCTTCCAACCTGTGTCAGGGAGTTACTGGGTGCAGTGAATCAAGATTTCTCTTTTAATATTCAATCTCCTTAAACACATTACTCCATCCTCAATCTACAGAAGAAGCACCATAGTCCAAGGGTGCTGTAGGCTTGTGGTCATGACAACCATAATTGGTTCAGCTAGCTCATCTCATGATGGAGCTGAGATTTGAAACTAGGACTGATGGATGCCAGGATTCAGGTTCATTACCAATGCTGAATTCTCAACACCTAGGCCCTGTAAAGTCCTCCCAGGTATAGATCTTCTGGCATAGTGACATCAGCAACCCTGGACCAGACTGTTGCTTCTTGATGAGACAAAGGGAAACCTGAGCTAAGGATCACTGGAGGGAGACCAAATCCCCACCCCGAGAATCCTATAGCTGAGTCCTTGGAGTTCTGTTGTTTCAGCGGGAAACCCACCCATACTATGACCTCCAGGTGAAGGTGCTAAGGGCCAGAAATATCCAGAATGCAGACCAATGTGAGTGACCCCATCTCTACCTTCTCTCCTTCCTTACCTTAAGGCCTCCCCAAGTTCATCTTAAGTTGTGTGTGTATGTGTGTTCATGAGTATATGTGCACTTACTTGGAGTGGGGTGGAAGTCTGATGCTAACCATCAAACAAGGTTGCCTAGATGAGGGGCATACAGGAAGGGGCCACTGGAGGGGAGAGTTCTACAGACTCCAGACCCCTCCCTGAATCTAGAAGATGCCAGCCTATAAGGGTGGCTGTCACCACAAGTCAATACCTGCTTTCCATGCTGGTGCTCACATGGTTGTGGGGGTGGGAGGGTTTTTACCTGAACCAGACAGTTTCTGGGCATTACTCAATGGTCTCCATGTGATCTCTTCAATAGGTCACTGTAGGCTTTATGTTCAGTTGAATAGGAGATGCAACCAGTCAAGTTGGAGTCAATGATACCAAAGCTCCCTGCCTCCAACTTCTACCCCACCACACTACATGGGCACTACATCTCCATCCTGCTTCTTTCCTCTGGCCCAGCCACCTCCAGGAAACCTTTTTAGCAATAGGAGTTTGAGGCTGAGGACGTTTTTCTGCAGTGTCCAAAGCTGACTGCTATGTGCAACTGCGGCTGCCCACGGCATCCCCTATCCCTGCACAGACAAAGATGGTGGCTAACTGCAGTGATCCTGAGTGGAATGAGACTTTTCACTACCAGATCCATGGTGCTGTGAAGGTGAGAACCAGCGAGAGGCCAATCTACAGAATGAAAAGAGCTCTTCCAAGCTCCTTACCTTCTGCCTGCTCCCTTTCCAGAATATCCTAGAGCTCATTCTCTATGACAAGGATGTCCTGGGCAGCGACCAGCTCTCCCTGCTCCTGTTTGACCTGAGGCATCTCAAGCCTGGCCAACCCCACAGACACATCTTTCCACTCAACCAGCAGGTGAGCCCCACCTGGGATAGCAGCAAGCCAAGCTGGAAGAGATGATACCAGTCCAGGGCCACCAATGGGAGAGGGGGCTCCTGTCATCACAGACCAAGTCTCCAAGATAGATCCTTCTCTATTCTGCAACATCAACCCTATAAGTTTTCCCACATATACTGATTCCTGTGTGAAAACAAAATGTGGGCTCCTAGAGAACGGTGTGCTTAGTCTGTCTGTGTCTCTGCTAAATCCTCAGTGTCTATAACAGCATCTGGCACAAACTTCTGAAAGAACAAAGTTCTCATAGAGATGCCATTACTTTCCTGTGCCCATGAGAGACCATGACAGTTCTCTTCTAGTCCTTGGAACCAAGCAGGGCTAAGGGTCAGGGATGTCCCTGAGGCTTTCAGAGCCTTTTTAAAACAGGTTCCCCTTGTTCCCTCCATATAGGATACACAAGAGCTGCAGGTGGAATTTTTTCTGGAGAAAAGGTGAGTCCAGGCAGAGTCAATGCCCTCACATTTAGTCTCAGACTTACAGAGACATTTAAGTTGTATTATCTCCTAGCTGCTGGTTACCATGTCCTATGCTGGTCTTGCAGACCTGGCCTCAGAAGGGAAAGCTTGCTTTGGATACCCATTTACTTGTTGTCAGACAGGTCCCCACCCCCAACTCTAATGCTCCCCAGGCTCTTCCAACTGCTTTGGTAAGATTATTGTTGTAATAGCCATAGCAAAGGGGCAAAATGGCTCATAAGCTCCTCCTCCTTTGCAGCCAAGTGCCTGCATCTGAAGTCATCACCAATGGAGTCCTGGTGGTGAGTAGGGAAGATAGGCTTGGGGCTGTCTGGGGCCAGGGAGCAGGGAGGAGTCCATGACTGAGTCCATGATGCTCACTTGTCTCTGAAGGATACTCAGCCCCTCCTTAGAGTGGAGATGTGCTAGGAATATGAGAATAAGAAGCTGTCCTGACCCTGGGGTATAGCCCAGGACCCAGGCTTCCTACCTTGTGCACAGCCATTACTCTCTTGAGACCTTGACTGTTGAGACTATCAAAGGAGCCACTATCAGGATCCTATACTTTCCTTGTCCACCAGGGCCAACTTCCTTTGTGTCCTGGGAGGGGAACATAATAGGGCCTGCTATAGAAGACCCCTGCCCATAAGTCATTGGTCCTGGGAGAGCTGTTTCTTGGACCTTGCCCTGGATACTCCTCCCTTGCTCCAACATGGTCTAGACCTGTGGAGAGCCCTGTGGGCTCTGGCTCCCAAGGCTTCTGCTTTTCTCAGGCTCATCCCTGTTTGAGAATCCAGGGCACCCTCAAGGGAGATGGGACAGCCCCATATCCAGAGTATGGTAAGTCTGGTCAGGGCCTTGGGTCTTGCTTTTTCTGCTTGAGGGAGGGTGGATGTGATGTTGAGAGATGCTAATATCAAGAAGAAGGGCCTAGAGCAGGAAATTACTAATTTTTTTACTGCTTAAAAGTCACAAAGGATGGAATGGGTTGTCCCGGAAGTAATGAATTTATTGTCCCTGGAAGTGTTCAAGCATAGAGGTTATATTCATCCAGTTATTGCTCTAAAAAAAAAAACACCCACAAAATCTCAGTAGCATTCAATAAGAAGCACTTATTTAGCTCACACATCTGGCAGTCAGCTGGGGCTTGATTAATCAAGATTGGGCTTGGTGGGGATAGCTCCATGAGCCTGGGCTCTAGGTTTGGCACTATTCCATGTGTCTGTCCTCTCCCTCTGTGTCCAGCAGACTAGCCTGGGAATGTTCTTAGTGGACTGGGGCCATCAATACAGTCTGCCACAGACTAGAAGGAGGAATCCAGATGTGGGAGTAAAGTTGAGGCAGTGTGACAGCTAAGGGCCCTTCCCACATGGAGAGTCAAGAGCCTTTGGGATGAATGCTGCTCAGGTAGCATGGGGCACTTACTAATCAGACACTGTGCTAAGCACTTCACATTTGTTTGATCTTGTAATCCTCAAAGCAGCCCTGTGAGGCAGGAATAATCACTAACTTCTTTTAATTCATGAGACCAAAGTCTATTGTTTCTGCCTATGACTAGCATATCCACATCTCAGTCCATAAACTTTTGTGTGAATGAAATAGCAAATTCCCAGTTTTCTCTAATTCTCTCCCTCCCTGACCAAGTCTCTAGTCTTATCTAATGCAAGGAGGTACTATAAGGGGTATGACCCCATCTTATGGGTCCACCCTTAGGTATTTGTTGTTTTCATGTTGTGTTTGGGATCTGGGACTCTTCTTTGAGGCTTTCTGCAGGCCCCTCTGCCTGGATGTCATATGCGGAATGTCATATGTTATATGCATCTTCATCTGGTCTGCATACCACCCCTGCTGGGAAGCAGGGAAGGAAGCCGCCTCACTGCTCCTTTCCCACAGGTCTGTCTCTGCTTCTTCACAGCCTGAGCTTCACCTTCTATCCTGTACTGCCCCTCCCCTGCATCTCCAAAGCATATTCTCTCTGCAGTCATGAATCACATTCTTCCTTTGTAACGTCCTCTGCCCACTTCCTACATTCTCCACTTTAGAAACTAAGGCCAGAGCAACTTGTAACCTATTTCCATTTTATCTCTGTTCATAAATCTCCCCCAAGGCAATGAGCTCAGAGCTTGAATTGGAGAGGGAAAGAGATGGGAGAAACTACCAGTTGAAAACTGGTTATTAATGTAATAAATAAACAATTTTATATAATTACATATTGTTATGGTGAGATTGCAATAAATCACTGAGTCAATTTTAAAGCAGAAGATGGAACACTTATTCACCAGCTGGTGGTCCAGGTTCACCAGCTGGCTGGCCAAGAGGCAGGCTGCAAGTCTATATTCTTTGACCCCCCTCCAGGGGTTAGAGCACACCTTTTAAAACATGTTAGTACATTAATCATAGTGTTTGTTGCTTTGATTCAAAACTACAAGCAAACATCATGAAATCTAAAATCATAAGCAGAAGGGGAAATGAGTAAAAACAATCCTAGTTGAGTACAAGTTAAAGAATGATCACTAATGTCTAGACAATCATTCTCTGACAGGAAACATTGTCCAAGAAAAATAGGAACCAAAAAGAGAAAAATTTTTTCGTTGTATAAGAACAACAGAAACATTTGCATTTTTAAGCAGGGTGTGCTAAGCAGGATCAGAATGGCAGAGGCAGAGTTTTCTCATGGGAGAAGCATTTCTTACATGATATGGAATTTCAGGGTAAAATGGAGTCTGTCTGGCCATTGCCCATATAGCTTGGCCCATAACAATATCATATAATTAATGTAATAATTTCAAAATCACCAGGTCCATAGGCTATGGCCAGGGGCCCTCTGCCTCCCCACTTCCCACCTTTACCACTTCCCTAGGCATTTGTGTGTTCCCTCACTCCCCAGGGCCCCCAGTTATAAATAAGGCAGATTTTAAGACCCCAAGAGCTTTTCCAATGGTCAGGTGCCTGAGAGCCAAAAGGGTGAGGGGTAGGGGGAAGTTTCTGGGGAAGAGGAGAAAAGTGTTATAGCTGTTCAGGGTGCTGCTATCAGGAGGCACACTTACTTTCATCCACTTTCACCCCTCACCTGGACTCTCTGCCCTCAGCCTCTAGGCAAATCAAGCTGGCAGTGCCTGGGGCCTATGAGAAGCCACAGCTCTTGCCCCTACAGCTTCCCATGGAACCAGGCCTCCCACCCACTTTTATCTTCCACATAAATCCAGTGCTGAGCTCCAGGCTGAATGTGGAGCTAGAGGAGAAGCTCACAGTTGCACAGGTGAGTGAGCTCAGTGAAGGGTAGGATGATGGACTCATCCAGACTGAAAGACGCTCCAGAGCCACTTTTTCCTTCACTCTAGATTGATCATTGTGGGTCTTCTCCACAGAGTGGGCCAATTGCTGAGCTGGAGGTACAAACCATACAACAGGGCAAGGGGGGTATCCTGCTCTCCACTCTGCCCCTAGGCCAGGAGGAACAGCGCCTTGTGGTCCTGGAGGAGGTAAGGTTCTGTCTGGGTACCAGGACCCCTGATTGCTTTGTGACCATCAAGAGAAGTCTGGGGATGGGGGAAAGATAAGTCTATCCCTGAGCTCAGCCATACTGTCCACATCTGACCAGAGTTAACAGAGAAACGGGGGCCATAGGTGGGAGGTAATTTCCCTGGGAGAATCCTGCTCCACATGCTCAGGGATAAGGCTGCTGTCTTTTTCAGGGCCAGGAGATGACTCTGAGTGTGAAGGCAGAAATGAGGTGAGGTGGGACTTCCAGCAGAAGACCTTTTGGGGCTGGTCTAGAAGTGTGGGGAATTACCCTAATGTGTTGTGCTCTCTGGCCCACAAAGCTCAGTTCATGAAAACCACTTTCCCTCCCCCAGTTTTGGTTCTGGTGGGAAGTGTCTGGGAATTTTTTTTCAGGGGTGCTACTAGGAATTGGACCCAGGGCCTCTTGCATGCTAAGTACACACTCTACCACTGAGGTACATCCTCAGAACTCCACACATACGTGTCAAGATCTTTCTGAGGGGTTCCACAGAGTATGGGTTGCTCCTGAGAAAAATAGGCTGAGCTTGAGGTTCTCCTCCACTGAACAACCACCCAGTACCCTTCCCCATTCCCTCTGAGGCAGCTCTGGGGACTTGGACCTGCGCCTTGGCTTTGACCTCTGTGATGGGGAGCAGGAGTTTCTGGACAAGAGGAAGCAGGTTGTATCCCAGGCCCTGCAGCAAGTGCTGGGACTGAGCCAGGCTCCACCTTGTGACCAGGTATGGAATGGAGGTAGAGCTGGATCACAGGGTTGCTGGACCAAATCTAGCCTCTTTCTTTAAGGGAACTTGTGTGGCTAAGAGGTGACAGAAAGCCTAGAGGAAGCATGGGGTTTATAAAGGCCTATTTGCCTGAGCTGGTGGGCACAATCAAGAGAGTCAGGACACCCTATGTGGAACAAGGGCTAAACAATCTTGGCCAAGGGTAGATCTCATAGTCAGTTTGGGCTCCTGTAACAAAATACCACAGAGTAGGTGGCTTAAACAACAGAAATCTATTTTCTCACAGTTCTAGAGGTTGAAGTACAAAAATCAAAGTGCCATCAGCCAGGCCTGACCCTGCTTAGCTTCCAAAAGCAGAAAAGATCCAGGATGTTCAGGGGTCAGTGTTGGGTTCTGATGAGGTCTTCCTTCCTGGCTTGTTGATGTTCTTCTTGCTATGATCTCAAATGCCTTTCCTCTCTGTGTGTGTGCGTGAGTGCGTGAGAGAGAGAGAGAGAGAGAGAGAGAGAGAGAGAGAGAGAGAGAGAGAGAGAGAGGGAGGGAAGGGGAGTTCTCTGGTGTCTTTTTTTATTTTTGAGATAGAGTCTCACTAAGTTACTCAGGTGAACTCAAACTTGCACTCCTCCTACTCCTACCTCAAACTCCTAAACTAGGATTTCAGGCATGCACTACTGTGCCCAGCTTTCTTCTTCTTCTTATAAGAACATCAGTCCTATCAGATTGAGGCCCTACCCTATAACTCCACTTTATTATTATCTCCTTATAGGCTGTATCTCTAAAAATATTTATATTGGATTTGGGGTCTTTAACAAGTTTTAAAAGGACACAATTAAGTCCATAATTGTAGTCGAAGAGATTTGGAAGTAGAAGGTCTCTGGGATCCCTGTGGCTGGGAAGGAGGAGAGGGGTTCTGAGAGGCAGGCCTGTGGTACACCAGGAAGAGGCTGATGGCCTCCTCCTGGCTACCTGTTTGCTCAGGAGATGGAGCCTATGCCCAGCACCAACAAGCTGAAAAGCCTGGTTTGCTCATTTGGGTTACATCTGTGCCCATTCAGTGCCAGATGCATGCTTTGTTTCATCCATCATTCTGAACAACAGGGCCCTTCATGAGCAGAGACCAGGGAATATTTTTTCAAGATGGGAGAAGAGGACAGGGAAAGGAATCACAAGACTGGGCAAAGGCCGGGCATAGTGTTATATGCCTATAATCCCAGCAGTTCGGGAGTCTGAGTCAAGAGGATCACAAGTTCAAAGCCAGCCTCAGCAACTTAGTAGACCCTCAGCAACTTAGCAAGACCCTGTCTCAAAATAAAAAGGGCTGGGGATGTGGTTCAGTGGTTAAGCACCCCTGGGTTCAACTCCAGATACCAGGGGTGGTGGGTGGAGAGGGAGTCTGGGCAGAATGAACCAACCCTTTGTGTGAAAGTTAAGCAGCCAAAACATTTTGAATTTTATCTTATCATGCACCTGAGGCAGACCTCAGCATTTGGAACCATTCACATCTGGGGCAGGTATAGGCTGCTTGCTGATCTTTGTTACTTTTAGCTCAGTGTTCCCAATTGAGGGCAATCTTGTCCTCCATTCTCCAGAGAACATTTTTCGATGTCTAGAGGTATGTTTTATTGTCACAACTGGGGTGGGGGAGGTAGAGGGATGCTACTGGAATCTATTGAGTAAAGGCCAGGAGTGCTGCTAACCATCCCCCACACATGGGGCAGCACCTCGCAACAAAGAATTATCTAGCACGAAGTATCTGCATTGCCAAGATTGAGAAACCCTGATTTAACCTTTTGGTGAGTCAAATATAACTTCCAACTAACCTACCTTCCTGGAATACTGGTCAAGCATCATCTCTAGAGTATCATCAGTATCATCATACTGTAGTGTCATCATACTGCTTGGGTTTGATAGCTCATTACTTACTAAATGTATGATCTTGGACACATTGTTTGACCTTCCTGCACTCCAGTTTCCTCATTTGCAAAATAGAGGTTTCACTGGGCTGCTGTGAGGATTCAATGAGATAAAACTTATAAAGCTCTTATAATATCTGACATGGATAAGCAATAATATTTAAAGCACAGTGGTAGTCATGGTTGTTGTTACTATCATCATTATTATTGTGCCCAGGTGCCTGTGGTAGCTGTATTGGGTTCTGGGGGTGGAACCCGAGCCATGACTTCCCTATATGGCAGCCTGGCGGGGCTGCAGGAGCTCGGTCTCCTGGATGCTGTGACCTACCTGTGTGGGGTATCTGGGTCCACCTGGTAAGTGAGGCAGGGCAGGGTATAGGATAAAAATGAGCTCTGAAGGGGCAGGGATGTGGCCTGGTGATCTGATAGTCATCAGAAGGAGCTGGGAGCTTGTCTTCAAGGGGGTTAGGAAGGGCAAGAAGAGGTTGAATTTCAAGGGCTTCTCTGAATGAGGGGCATCAGGTGCACATGATGGGAGGAAGGTCACTCATAGACTCCTCTATCTCCCTTCCCCTCACTGTCCTCTCTTATCCCTAACTCAATACGTACCCTCTCTCTATCCCCAGGTGTATCTCCACACTCTACAAGGACCCAGACTGGTCCCATGTGGCCTTGCAGGACTGCCTTGAACATGTCCAAGCACGGGTCTGCAGCAGTAAAATAGGGGCGATATCCACAGAGCAGCTACAGTACTACACTCAGGAAGTGGAGGTCCGGGAGAGCCTCGGCCATAGTGTGTCGCTTGTTGACCTCTGGGGCCTCCTCATTGAATATTTTCTGAACCAGGAGGTAAGAGAAGAGCAAGAAGAAAATACACTCTCTCCATAAACTTCCTGACCCCTGCTCTTATCCCCCAGTCTAAGATATGAGACTTGCAAAACTGTCCCTGAGAGCTGAGCTCCCCTTAGAGGAAGGAATGAGAGAGCAGGTGGCTGACACTATTTCACTTTTCTGCCTCCTAACCCCCCTGGGGTGGGAGAGCCAGCATGCTGTTCTCAACTCTTTCTGCATATTGGGATCTCCTGCAGTTTTTCAGAATAACCATGCCTGGGCCCCACTTTCAGAGAGACTGATTTTAGTTGGTCTAGGGTAAGGCCCTAGCACAGGTATGTTTTGAAATTGGCTCTGCCTTTCATTGAGTCACAATGCCCCATCCACTCATTGGTCAATGCAACCCTGACTCAAACCACCTATGGCTACTCCCAGAATTGCAGGCCCAGCCTGTCCAGGGCAATGAGGTTCAGAGGTACTGACTCACTGTGTGTGGATCTCAGTTGAGTTTGTTTGTCACCAATGATTTCTCATTTCTAAGCCAAGAAGCAACATTTTCTAATAATTTTATTTTAATTAAATTATACTACTTTCAGTGTTAAACCCCCTTGTGTTCTAATATGCTTCCTTGAATGGGAAAGAAGAGGGAAAGATATTCCTATAGTCCCTGGAATTGTACAAAACCCATTGTGGCCTGACCTCTGCTGCAGCTTACACTTTTCCCTTAGAGAGTTGTCTCTATAGCCCTGGACTTAGCAACTCAGTCTCTCCTGTGGGCACACCACATCCCATGGAAGGCTGATCTCAGGCCACAGGGGGTGAAGCTCTCAAATGACCAAGCTGCCTCCCTTCTCTTCTGCCCAGAAAAACCCTGCCAAGCTGTCTGACCAGCAAGCGGCCATCAACCAGGGTCAGAACCCTTACCCCATTTATGCCAGTATCAATGTTCACACCAACATCAGTGGAGAAGACTTTGCAGGTACCTGGGAGTGGAGACCAAGGAAGGAGACAGAGGACATGGTTGGTAGAAGGGCCAGTGATCCAGGGCTATCAGGTACAAGTGGGAGGTGGCCACAAACTAGGTCCTTAGAGCACAGTGGGTTTGCTGCTTCCTGTTCTTGGCAAGTTAAGATTCCTCCTCAGGCTTGAGGGCCCTGATGGAAAGCCCCGGTGACTTTCCCTTCCCTTGGGTCCCCAGAGTGGTGTGAGTTCACCCCCCATGAGGTCGGCTTCCCCAAATATGGGGCTTATATTCCTACTGAGCTCTTTGGCTCGGAATTCTTCATGGGACGATTGTTGCACCTCCTGCCTGAGCCACGCATCTGCTACCTGCAGGGTGAGTCTAGGATGGAGGGCTTGGGATAGGCAGGTGCCTGGACCAGGCCCTGATGAGGGAGCCCTGCCTGTCTCCTTAGGTATGTGGGGCAGTGCCTTTGCAGCCAGCCTGGATGAGATCTTCCTGAAGATTGCAGGCTTGGGCCTGGGATTCCTGGACTGGCACAGAGACCGTGTAAACATCACAGGTGAGGGCAGAGACTCCCAAATCCCCACTACCACTTGCCAGCAATGGGTCCTTGGCAGAAGGATGAAGAATGAAGGAAGGGATAGAGTAGAAGTTGGTTGTCCCATTGGATTCAGGGAAGTCCTGAGGAAATGACCCTCTAGCTTAGGGTCTTTGGATTCCTGGGGTGTGATAGGGCCACACCTTTGAGTTCTCTGCTTTGGACTCCAATTAAGTCAACTTGGCCCAAGATCACCAGGTATTTTTCCACACTCCATTCTTGTCTCCCCTTTGACCTGTCCTTAGAGGGCCTAGGAGAATCCTGTGATGCAGTATCTTTTCCACCTTTCTTTCCTGTATAACTTTTGCTCAGCTCTTAAAGTTCAGCTCAGGTGTCACTTTCTCAGAAGTCTTCTCTTTTCCACTCTAACCCTCTAGGCTGATTGAGGGTCTTACCCCCCTGATCTCTTAGGGTTGTATGCACAACTAGGGCAGTATTATGTTTCATTATCTCTTTATATGACCACACTCCCCCTACCAGAGTAGGCCTGAGACCTGCAGGGTCAGAGACAGGTTCTATTCACCTTTGTATCCTTCATACCTAGCAGAAGTACAACACTCAGTGTTTAAGGGATGGAATTCCAATTAGAAATGATATATACAGCTATTTCAAAAGGGTAGGAGGTCAATTATTTAATAAAGGCACAGTCCTTAGTAACTTTCAAAACATGAAATTACAAAAGAAAAAGTCTTTAAAAAGGATTCTGGTTACTGGGTGTGGTGGCACACCTATAATTCCCAGCTACTTGGGAAACTAAAGCAGAAGGAGGGCAAGTTTGAGGCCAACCTGGGCAACTTAGCAAGATCCTGTCTCAAAGGAAGAAAAGTGGAGCAGGGATGGGGGTGGGGGGCTGGAAGTGCTTGCTAGTAGTATGAATGAAGCCCTGGGTTCAACCCCCAGTACCCCCAAAGGGTTCTGTGAATCAGTAGTCAGAGGCCCGTGGGGGCCTAGAAGAAGAGGAGGGGGTGTGAAGGAGGGGGTCTTCTCTGAGCTGTAAGGGTCACTGGACAAAGAAGATGCCACTTCTCACTGTATTTCACACACACCTAGATGACTGTCAGGAGTTCCAGCTGCATGACCCTATGTGTCTACGTACCAGGCTCTTCACCCCACAGGGGCCCCTTTCCCAGGCCCTGCTGGACATATTCACTTCCCGCTTTACTTCTGCCCAGAACTTTAACTTCACCCGGGGCCTCTGCATGCACAAGGACTATGTGGCCTGCAGAGAGTTCATGGCTTGGAAAGGTGGGTTCTGCCCTGGGCAGGGAGGGGGTAGCCCACTTTGTGCTTGTGCCTGTGACTCACTGGGGCCAGCACTGGCTTTTGTCATGGGATGTGTGAGGGAGTATTGAATTGTGGTCTCCTGCTGCCTGGTGGCTGAAGAAGAAGGGCTATCTGACCACTGTGTCAAGAGGTCGAAAACACGGTCGGAGGGCTGGGATGGGAGAGCCCCTGGCTGTCAGAGGGGAAGAGAGAACTCTGCAGAGAGGTTGAGACTACAAGTGCAAAGAGGGTCACTAACAAGAGCAATTGTGCTTGTTCCTATGTACTTTGCAGACACACACCGGGATGCTTTCCCCAACCAACTTACACCCATGCAAGACTGCCTATCCCTGGTGGATGGAGGTTTTGCTATCAACTCTCCATTCCCACTGATTCTGCAGCCCCAGCGGGCAGTGGACCTCATTCTGTCCTTTGACTACTCCTTGGAGGCCCCTTTTGAGGTAAAGCAGGGAGGCAGCAGGGGCTTGAGGTGAATGGGGAGGAGGGAGGGGAAAGAGGGCTCTGCTGAGGGGCAGGCTAGATGTTTAGAGCTCATTCTGCATGGCCAGGCTGGCTTCTGATCTATGGCAAGAGCCTTTAGATCACTGTTGGCAGTCCAGATCCATCTGGGAGAGGAGAATGGCTGGGATTGTGGGAGGAATTGGGAAGAGGAAGTTGAAGATGGTTCTTCAGGCATCAGCTAGACTCTGCTCTACACCTTGTCCATTCATGATAGGATTTCCCACTCCAGTCTGGGCCAGGGCCTGGGCCTGCTGTCCCTTGCTACTGTGGTAACAACAGGGCCTTTGGGGTGACTTTAGCAGTGATTCCTTCAAACTCTGCAGAGTAGTGGACAGGTACTATCTCCAAAGGTGGGTTCAGGTCATGCCACAGGACCAGTCCTTCACTCTTTGTTCTTCTCTTTGTCCTCCTGGGTCCAAAGAGAACCTAGATTTGATAATCCATATAACCTTACCCAGCACTGATCCTGGGATCATTGTGTCAACCTTGTGAAATTGAAATTAGCCCCAAACAGGGAGCAGAGAGGGGCCAGAGAAGGGAGGCCATGTCATGGGGAGGAATGATGGTGAGAATGATGATGGGGGCCCTAGATCATTGATTATTGATTATTATTGGTTATTGCTAATCTCTTACAATCCCACTGGATAGTTATTTGACAAGTGAAATGTGTAGCTCAGAAAGGTGATATTATCTTAAGAAGGTCACTCAGCTGTTCAAAAGCAGAGCTGGCCTGAAGCCTGGGTCTATTTGAGTCCCAAGTGGAGGGAGGGCAGGGTGGAAGACAGGTAGGGCCAGGAACTCACCCTCTTCCTAGGTCTTACAGATGACAGAGAAATACTGCCTGGACCGAGGGATTCCTTTCCCCAGGATTGAGGTGGGCCCTGAGGACTTGGAAAGGCCCCGTGAGTGCTATCTGTTTGCCAAGGCCAAGGACCCCAGTTCACCCATCGTGCTACATTTCCCCCTGGTCAACCATACTTTTCGTACACACCTGGCCCCAGGTAAGAGACAGAAACCCAGACCTGCATCTGATCTACAGAGCTCTGGGGAAGTGATGCTATTCCAATAGTGGACCTTCTGGACATTGCCATTGCATGTCTCCTCGAAGGCCTGAGCTGGCCACTGCTGACCTCTGCTTACTGGTTCTTAGCATTTACACTGGAATATCTCCTCCTGATGGGCCAGAGAGCTGAGATGTGGGCCCAGGCAGTTCCCACAGGGAACCAGTCAGGTGTCTTAGGGCAAGGAAGGTGTGTGGGATATCAGCTCCCAGGTAGTCCCAGAGTGTTCCAGTCTGGCCTCACTTCTACTTTTCTACCCACAGGTGTTGAGCAGCAAACCTCTGGGGAGAAAGCCTTTGGGGACTTTGACATCAATGGGCCAGATACCCCCTATGGCATGATGAACTTCACCTATGAACCCAGGGAATTTGATCGCCTGGTGGCCCTGTGTCGATACAATGTTTTGAACAATGTGGACATTGTGAAGCATGCTCTCAAGCTGGCCCTGGATCGGTGGCAGGCTGGGGAGAGGGGTGGGGGCTGACCAGGCTGAAGTCAGAAGATTACAGCAGAGAGGAGAGATGTGGGACTCTAGCCCAGGGCTTAATAAGGAGTCGAGGCTTTAGAGGGTTCTGCTTCCAACTTCTCTAAGACCTGCCCTGAGATCCCTCAGGCCTGAAAAGTCTTGCAGACTCACAGCTTGGACTTGGACCAGGGGATCAAGGGATATAGAGCAGAAGAGAGCAGTGCTTGTTTCTCAGAGTGGCGTGGAAAGAACCAGGCCAGTCTTGCCACAAGGCCTACCCACAGCCCAGGACTCAAGAGGGTCCAGGCACTTACTTTTACTTTCTAGGGTGGGAGTTGTGAGCACTTATGTGCAGGCTCCGCTTCTTACACTGGGACTTAAAGCAGAGATAAAGCCACCCACACTTCCTGCAAAGTGGCTCTGGTCCCCAACCTACTCCAAGCTTCTGGATACAGTGCTGTCAAGAATAAAGAGGAGCCCATGAGTCACCAGCTTGTGTCACTGACTCCAAGTCTACCTGCTAACTCTCCTTTGCCTCCTGGCCTCCCTTGTACCTCCTCACAGATCACCATCTTTCTCTGTTCAGACTGCTGAAGCTGTGGTATGATGGCCCAAACTGGCCAGGCTCCAGCAGGTTGGTGTGCACAATGTTCCACTTTTCAACTTGGGCCACATTTCCTGGTCATGTGTACAGCTGCCACCTCAGGCAAACACAGTCTACCCTTCCTTTCCTAGGAACTAAATGGGTGTATCTAGAGGGGGCATCTGTTTACCAAAGGTGGGGTAAATATGTGCCTGCATGTGTTGCAGGGTGTGTGCTTACTCCTGGTATAGGTGGGGCAAGTGAGCACCTGTCCATTGGCAAGGGTTGAGTGGAAGGAGTCCTAGGCTCCTTCCTGCCTCTCTTATAGATTCATCTGATGACCTGGACAAATCTGTTTCTCTCTCTCCCTCTTTCTCATTTCCTCCAAATTTGAAAGCCTTTCTGGTGTATGCAAATTTCAGACCCTGAAGGTCCTGACCAGGCCTTGGCAGCCTTATCTTCTCACCCTGCCCTGCCCAGGTGCTGAACCACTTGGGCCCCTGAAGTGGGCCCCTTTATACTCACTTGAATACTTCCTCCTTCTGTCCCCTGCATATGCACACACACAAATCTGCTCTCTGAGACCTGAGATGTCCTCTTTGAATCAGGACATCTATGCTGGGCAGCCTCACCTGCCCTAAGTTTGGGAATAATACCCTAGATCTGGCTTCCAGCTGGGAGGAGAGTGATTAGAGTCCTGACTGTGTCCCTTGCCTTGACTGGCCTGGGACCAAGAGACCTCCAGCTGATGTGAATGGTAAGGGGAAGCTATATAAAAGCTAGACTTTCTTTTTTCTTTTTCTTTTCTTTTCTTTTCTTTTTTTTTTTTTGAGACAGGGTCTCTCATTAAGTTGCTGAGGGTCTCAAACTTAGATCCTTCTGCCTCAGCCTCCTATGTCACTAGGATCATAGGCATGTACCATTGTACCTGGCCCAACACATGAAGTTTTAGGGATACCCTCAAACTATATCCAAACTGTAGCACTGCTTCAGTTGTCTTTTTCCCACTATCTTCCCTTGAAGGTTATATGTTCTATTTCTAATTCTGATGATTTCTCTTGTCAGTTTCATTGGCACAATTTATATAGAATAGCCTACATCTTTTCTAAGTTAGTAGTTAGTGAATTTTGACAAATTTATATATAAACATGTACCTACCTTCTACAGTCAAGATATGGAACATTTCCATTGTCCCAGAAGTATCTTGTGTTATGTTGTAGTCAATCTCCAATCCCTGGTCTCAGGTGACCAAAATCCTTATATATATATATCAGGGATTGAACCCAGAGGCACTAACTACTGAGCTGCATTCCCAACCCTTTTTATTTTTTATTTTGAGACAGGGTTTCACTAAGTTGTTTAGGCCCTCACTAAATTGCTGAGGCTGGCTTTGAACTCAAGATCATCCTGCCTCAGCCTCCCATATGGCTGGGATTTGGGGCATGCACCACAGCACCTGGCCCTCAGCCATAACTCTTGATATACATGCAGGGACCCACATCAGTGAGGCTATGGTCTTTACATGAACTCCCGCCCTCCCTCACCCCACTGGCTAGAGGTTCCTCTGATGCTTCTGCAGGGTTTTATGTTCAGTAGGAGTAGAAGCCCTGTGCACCAGGCTGGGATTGTAGCTCAGTGGTAGAGTGCTTGCTTAGCACGTGTGAGGTTCAAGCCTCAGCACCATAAAATAAAGGAATGCTGTCCGTCTATAAGTACAAAAAAAAAAAAAAGAAGCCCTGTGCACCCAGGCCTAGATACCTACTTCCACCACCCCTCTCTGGATCTGTTTTCCTTTGAGCAAGAACTGCTGTAGGCATGTTGCCTAAAATTCTCAAAGAGCTCATTTTTGTTCAGACAGGTAAAAGGCTGTCAGGGTAAGAGTAAGATAGGTAAAATGTACAGGCCTTGAAGGCACATGAGGAGGAGGTTGTCCATGGTTGTGGAAGTGGCAGGATGCTCTTGGCTGTGCCTAGCACATTAGACAATGGAAACACTGTGTCTGGTGGGAGAGTTTGGGCTCAATATGATGGGCATGTTGGAACTCGTGTGTATTCTTTATTGTGAGTGTGCATGTGTTAGAAGAAGATGGGTAATAAAGGAGGAGCTGGAGTTGTGAATGAAGACATGGAAAGCCCCTGGAGAGGAAATCCTAGAGAGGGATCAGGAGAGACAGCAAAGTGGGAATGGAGAAGAGAATGCAAATAGAAACATGAATCTGTGATGTATCAGATGGGAAAACCAAAAGCTAGCCTAAGGCTAAGTGCGTGATAGTGGCAAGGATAGGGCTGTGGTTCCAGAAATTTCGAACGCTCTCAAATCTCAGTGTGTTGCCTCTTGGCTCCGGATGCTCCTTCTTACAGGTGCCTTGTGAACAGTGGGTTGCTCTAAGTAACCCTCCTTTATGTTGAGGGTGGTGGAGATTGCTGCTGGAGGGAGAGACTCTCCTGCCATTTGAGAGGGCTGGGAACTAGGTGCAGGGAGAGAACATCTAGGGGAAGCCATCCAGATTGCAAGCCCATGTGCGGTCTTTGCAGCCTAAGCCTGGTAATCATTTTTCTACAAGCCTCTTCAGGGGTATATCAGAGTCCTCACCCAGCACTCTATGGGCCTGCCCCACTAGAGCTCAGATTCCCACTGCACATGCATGCCACCTGTGCCACTAGCTTCTGATCACCTGCTCTCTTGTCTAAGCTCCAGAGCACGGCCTATTGCTTTCCCAGAAACTCCAGATCAGCTGTGGCCTGAACAGTGGGTTAAACCTACCTGCTCCATCTGAATCCTATCCAGTAGTCTTTCCTTGAGTACAATTTCTCAGCCCAGGTTTCCATATGAAGTTTCTTTTTTAAAATTGTTTAAAAAAATAAATGACAGCAGAATGCATTACAATTCTTATTGCACATATACAGCACAATTTTTCAAATCTCTGGTTGTATATAAAGTATGTTGACACCAATTTGTGTCTTCATACATGTACTTTGGATAATGATGTCCATCGCATTCCACCATCCTTGCTAATCCCCTGCCCCTTCCTTTTCCCTTCCATCCCTCTGCCCTATCTAGAATTCATCTATTCCTCCCATGCTCCCTCTCCCTAACCCACTATGAATTAGCCTCCTTATATCAGAGAAAACATTCGGCATTTGTTTTATTGGGATTGGCTAGATTCACATAGCATTATCTTCTACAACGCCATCCATTTACCTGCAAATGCCATGATTTTATTTCCATATGAAGTTTCTTTATATCTTATGGTTATTCTTATGATATGGTCCATAATTCTTTATATTGAATTTCCCCCATATATTAAACTCCCTCTGGGATTGGACCCAGACTGGCTTCTATTATTGTGTTTGAGAAGCCTGCTCCTGCCTAATTACTAATCTGTTGTAGGCAACTTATCTCTCCTTCCTGAGGGCTTTTAATATTTTTCTTTATTTTCTGTGTTCTGCAGTTACACTGCAAATTTTACAGCATGAATTGGTTTTGTCCTCCAGATTTGTTGCAATTCCTGAATAATAGCTTATAATAATGATAGCTAAGACTTTTGGGTATTAGCTTCAGATCAGGCACTGCCGCAGTCTGGCTGGGCACAATTCAGGAGCCACTTGTCAAAAGAAATGAACTTTATTTTTAGAACCACACAGGCCAAACAAAACAGCTCCTCAGGAAAACCCCTCAGAGCCCAACTGCCACCACCGGCTTCCCACAAGCCTCTCACACAAACACAAGCCTCACCACCTCCCACAATCCTCCTGCTCTTGAGCCCGATTGGCTGGGTCGCATGGGCGGAGCCAAAGAAGTCCCCCAATGAGCATCACCGCAGAGGAGCCAATCAGCTAGATGTTGCTGGGGCTGCTGTGAGCCAATCATCAGCTGGCAGCTGGAAGTTTGCTGGCAGCTGGAAGTTTGCTGGGGCCCCTTTGGCTGTGGCTTTCAACAAGGCACTATTATAAATACTTGACAATGTTAATTCATTTCATATTCACAATACTATCATCATCTTCATTCTTTTTTTAAAAATTTTTTTTTAGCTGTAGATGGACAGAATTCCTTTATTTTATTTGCTTATTTTTATGTGGTGCTGAGAATTGAACCCAGTGCCTCACACATGCTAGGAAAGCAGTCTGCCACTGAGCTACAGCCCCAGATCTCATTATCTTCATTCTTTAGGCAATTTAAGTGTCTCGTTTATGCCACACAATGGTACATGTTGAAGGCAGGATTTGAACCTAGGCTTTTCCCAGGCTGTGTTAGTCAACTTTATATCACTGTGACAAAATATCTGAGATAGCCAGGCACAGTGGTGTACTCCTGTAATCCAGAGGCTTGGGAGGCTGAGTTCAAAGCCAGCCTCAGAAAAAGTGAGACACTAAGCAATTCAGTGAGACCCTGAATAAAATACAAAATAAGGCTGGGGATGGGGCTCAGTGATCAA